CTGGACTCTGCAACCGTCATAAATATGAGTCGGTTGCCAAACATCTGGATTTTGATCAGGTGGCCACGGGGACGCTGCAACGGTCCTAAGTGCGAAGAACTGTCATAAGTCACTTTTCCCAGTGCCGTTGTAACTTTGAATGGTCACTGAATGAACTCTTGTAAGCCGAGGACTTATCTGTAATGAGCTATTTTATCTCTGTTCAGGCCAAAATCCTTGGAATCCATCTAATGCTAACCAATAATAATACGCTTGAAGTCATCTAGTCCAACCCCCTGCTCAGGTAGGAAACCCTATCCCATTTCGGACAAATGGCTGTCCAGTCTCTTCTTAGAAACCTCCAGTGTTGGAGCATTCACAGCTTCTGGAGGCAAGTAGTTCCACTGGTTAACTGTTCTAACATCTATGACTTAACCAGGGACCGATAAGAAAGTCAGAAAAGTCTGCTGAGTGGACACTGTAGTATCTGGAGACAGCAGAGGAGAAGAGGAAGAACTGGAGAAAATCACAAAAGAGAAAGACCTACAAATAGCAGCTTGGATGCAATCCCAAAATAATTGGAGCACCACTTGGAACACCATCATCGGCATTGACAAATTCGCCATCAGTCAGTTGCAAAAGGCAGCTTTACCTGGAACAGCTTACATCCTGTGATGTAATATTTAATATTATTTTAAAAAATCTGCCTATTCGAGGTCATCGGGAGGCACTCGATAAGTAAACAAAAACTGCAAATCCAGTCTAAACATCAGCCTGACTGCGCAAGCAAACACAGCCACGATAATATATGCATTCCATAATATATATATATGTAAGTAACGTATATATTCCCATGATACCTTTATCCCAGATTCTCTGGAAGGATCCGATCGCCAAAAATAACCAACGGCAATCTGAACTCTCTCTCAGATTGTGTGTTAATAACAACAACCGACAACATCACAGTGAAAAGGATGGCGGCGGTTGGCTCCTTTCTTGGATGGACTCAAGGAAAACCCACACAAACCACCATCCAGACTGAAACAATTATCTTAGTTTAGAGTTCTGTTCAGCCCTTCGTAAAGAGACCCTACCGCTAGCATCCTACCCAGCATTCCTTCCTTCCTATTTTTCCTGATAATATGAGCAAAGGGAGGGTCAGAAAAGTCAAAATGGCGGCCACAACCATGCCATCAAAGCCCCTTTTTTTACACATATCGCAAAGAAGGTGCATTTCCACCACATTTTCATCACACGCCACAGGATGTTTCCCCGGTTGTGCACCATGGGCTGGGGAATGCTGCTTTTAAGGTGCCTCCCTTTTGTTCGATTTCTCACAGTTTCGATTGGGACGTGCCTCGCCTTCCCGTTTCTCCGTGATGACGTTTGGCAGATTATCCAAGCGGCTGCAGGAAATTATAAGCCGGGAGTGCGTTTGGGTTTTCCCCATCTCCAATCTTGCTCCATAGACACGACTGGAGGTGGCTGTTGTGTTTTCCTGCCGGATAATTTACCCTGAGCTGGAGCACAGCTCTGTTGCTGTGTTGCGTCTCCACTGCAGGAGGGAGAAAAGTCAGCAAAGTAAGCATGGAGTTACCCTGGAGTACATTTTCGGTGGCGGGAAGGACGTTCTCCAAGGAAACAACTTCACCGAAGGAGGTAAGGAACAGCTACCACTGATCTTGGAGGGAGAATTTAATTGCTAGGCATGTGGGCCTGTCTGAGCTTGTGCAGGGCACCCTCAGCCTTTGCAAAATAGGCGTTGTGTGCTTTTGACGGAGCGAAACAACACCCCAAAATATCCTTTACAAGAAGAAATCCATCACGGCAGGCCCCCGGCAGGCCGACAATCTTTGGAAAAGCGAATAAATTCCAAATTAAGAAATGTTTAAGGGAGAAGGAATTGAAAGTCAGACTTCAATATTATGATTTAAAGCCAGCAGACAACCAGCCCTCAAATGGGGTTCTCCTACTCCCCCCCCCATCAAGAGATTTCTACAACATACAGGCAGTCCTTCATTTACGACCATAACTGAGCCCGCAATTTTTGTCGCTGAGACGTTTGTTAAGAGAGTTTTGCCCCATTTTAAGGCAGAACAGAATAGAACTGGAAGGGACCTTGGAGGCCTTCTAGTCCAGCCCCCTGCTCAAGCAGGAGAACCTATACCATTTCCAGGCCATATTTGTGAAGTGAATTGCTGTGCTTGTTCAGCGAGGAACACGGTCGTTAAGGGAATCCGGCTC